CCTTACACGTGCAGTCAATGGATACGGAAGAAGTAGCTAAGCTAGCAGAAAAGATGGACGAAGAAAACAGATTACTAAAGATTATAACAGTGACACGAGAAAAAGAATGTTAGACTGTTTCAAATGGATTATATAGGAGTATGTCTAAGAGTTGAGCCTACAGCCTGCAATTAGATAGAAGTTTTGGTTCAGGCTACTAACTTTGACCGAGAACGACGTGAAATACAATACACTGAAAAGGACATGACAACATAAATTAGAAGAAACAATGCTTCAATTTTCTATAAATCAGGTCAGAGCGAAATATTTATATTTGGTAAAACTATACATCAAATGCCAGGAAATATTGCTTAGCCTCTATCTAACAACATCAGCAAAGGGTTGTATGACGCCGATAAAATCAAAGAGGTCATTTCAAACGCCAATTGTGACAATGTAAGGAACAAACATTATGTAAATTTTAATAAACTATAGAAACCACAGCATCATATCAACTTATGATGCGGTGGTGTTACAGAAATAGAATCCACTACATCAAATGATTAACATGTCTTGATTAATTGTTCCTGGTAGTGAGCATATGTGTTTTTAGTTTCTTATTAAATCAAAAGACTTAAATTTACTTTTTGCACATGTAGGACGGAAGGATAGATTATTCAGAGTTTGTGGCGATGATGAGGAAAGGGACAGCTGGTGCCGAGCCAACGACCAACAAGAAGAGTGAGATGTAGTCCTATGGTGAAGCAGCAAGTGTGTAATGTGTATAGCAGCTGAAACAAGCAAATTTGTACATCTGTACAGAAATGCAATGGAGTTACTTTTGTGAACTAGTTCAGGGATGATTGTGTACTTTATGCTATTGATTGAAGGTGATTTGAAGGCCATGCATACTTAAGAATAGAGAAAGATAGATGTACTACTGCTAGAGACAGAACAATAGGATGGCGGTTCAGCAAGTGCATATTCAAGAAAACTACTGATTATTGTCGTTGCGCCTTCACAAAAACAGATGACAAATTTGAGGAAACAACATGCAACAAGATCTACTAATAAGGTAAACCATATGACAGAACACACACAATTATGTCAATTTATCATCAATGAAATTGAGAAAATTAGAATGGTCCAAACAGATCTGAAATCATTACAAGATATAATGGGAGAGACTCTCTATATAAAGAAGTGGCTATTGCAGTGAGCACTTCCACAGATTGTGCAAGGAGCATCTTGATACTTGAGACAACCACTAGCAAAAAGAATGGTCTATATGGTGAGGGAAGAGGTTCCGAGTTTAGTTATTTCATAAGAACATGTTTCTTGTATGTGGCAAAATGAATAAAAATATGGAACAGAGGGAAGCTTGTTCTTACCTAAGAGTTCAATTACTAGTTTCTAGATAACCCTTAAACTTGCGAGCTTCAAGTTCCCTTCGGCGGCGTTCTCTCTATATAGTTGAACACATATTTAAATGGCTGAAATTATAACAGGCATATATCAAATCAAGAAATGAGTACATATGAACAAAGATGCCAACAAAATGGTATTGTTCTGAATTCTAATACAAAATTGCGCAAGAACTCCAGAAGTATGATCCTGGAAATCTACGGAGCTATACTTTCACAGTAACGTGCAAGCTTTAGATAGTATCATTTTCATCCCAAGCTAGGCATTTTCAACAAACCTTTGGTGGCACACACGTCTGCGGACGGAAACGGAACACCAAGACCACAAATCTAGTTAAATCGACACAAACATTCTTGGTCTGCAATTCAGAAACACAAGGTAATGTTAATCCCAATTGAAGGAAACCCGAACACTGGAAGCCACCACCCCCTGGCCACATAGACATTCGAGCAAACAGGAGATGCACCCACACAGACATAATCTGTGTATGTTACTTTCCTAGAGTAGTTTAACAAGTCCAGTATGAGCATGAACTCAGCATTTTATTGCTTACAATTATTTTTAATCTTAGTCTCCTACAAGGAAATAAGTTTATTAGCCTACTGTTAGTTTGTTGCACATAATTTTTTTACTCTGTACTGATGGCTTCGCCTTATTATTTCTACTTGGGTATCGGGTATCTATTTGGTGGCTGCAATGTGAAGGCAGAATGCAACAGATAGTAGGAAATGCAGCAGTAGCGTCCAAAATCAATTAATCAAATTGGATAGCACCCCTAGAATGTCAACAGAGAGAGGAGAGTGACAGGCAGGCAATGACTTGTGTTGGAGAAAAAGACAGGCCATGACAGGGTGAGGTGAGTGACAGGTAAAGGGTGAATGAAGCATTGAAGCTTGTTAGGGTAACTGAATGAAGCGAAGCTCCCATGTCCTCCAACAATTCCATGGACTGACAGAATGTGGATCCCTCCCATGTCCTCCTACCTTCAGAAAATACTTTCCTGCACCAAACACTAACAGAAACAACGCCACGCTTGAGTCTTGCTTTAACCTTGCCGCTGAGACCTCCTCGTTTGCCCAATCCATGCTCACTCCCTCCGATGCACTCTTGTTCCATTTGCCCAAATCAATCCGTGCACTGCCACAACCTGGGCTCCAGATTTGCTCAACCCGAAATTGACTTGGAAATTGATTCTGCAGCAGAGGGCTGCTCACATATCTCATCCCAACAGCACAACAGAACAAGCTCATCGCACCAGAGGAAGAATCAAGCACCATATCAGGAAAGGGGATCGAGCAAATCCATACCACATCAGGAAAGGGGATTTGATAAATCATGCAACCGATGAGAAACACAGAAACAAAGAGGAAGAACAAGGACGAATCACACACCAGAGGTCCAGACCGCTGTTGTCCTGCATGTCGCGGAGGAGCGTCTGGAGGAGCTCGTTGGCGGTGCGGACGCGGGCGTGGAGGTCGACACATTCAGCGGCGAGCACAACCAGCATGGCGTTGAGGTCCGCGTGGAGCGCCGCGGAGCCGTCCCAGAGGCAGACCAGTGCCGGATTTGAGGGTCCTCTGGCTAACTCGTCGCTACGGATCATGTATACAATCTTATCTTAAAAATATACATGGACGCTAATTTTACTTGTAAAACAAAAATAAATCCAATGATATGTACAGACACAACACTGCTAGAAGCAAAAAATAAAAACTTATGTATAGCACATTTTTGTAATTGAACAAATTGATTTTCTTGTTTTTTCGTTTTCTTTTCTCAGCCCCCGACAATTGTTTCTTAGGTAACATTCTAAAATTCTAATACCTCATCAGAGTACTAGAAGTCTGAAATACAATACAAATAATTAATTTAGATTAAAAAACAAATAAGGAAAAAAATACCTAGGGTATGGACTCTAATGAACTAATCGGCTGAAATTCAATAAAAATAATTAATTTGGATTAAAAACGAACAAGGAAAAAATACCTAGGTCTGGACTCTAATGAACTGATCGACTGATCAGGATCGCAAAACCACAAGAAGTCGTTGTTGATGAGCCTGGCGCAGTGGAGCCTGGTCGCCGCCGGCCCACCACCGTGTCCGTGTCTCCATTGCGGCGCGACTCTTCCTCTGGCCTCGCGGACGTACGTCACGATTTCTCGGCTGCTCGCGTGGCCACGTGGGGAAGCTGCAAAGAATAGAAAGGCCGACGTTTGGTAATGAATTTTGGACTATAGAGTTTGGGGACTGTATAGCTGGGCTTGGGCCCTCGGCCGTCGCACCCCGTGCCCCTCCCCTAGGGCCGGCACTGAGGCAGACGATGGTGGCAGCAGGCTTGCTGTAGCTGCAGTAGCGGCGGAGGAGGGAGGGCCGGGCGCCGGAGGAGACGGGGGCGATGGAGACGGCATTGGTGAGCAGGAACATGAGCAGCGTGGCCATGGTGCCGCAGCAGCAGAAGCAACAGAGCCGCCTCGCCGGAGCTCGTCGGAGACCTGCAACAACGTCCGCGACAAGGACCCGCGATTCCGCCGGAGGAATCGCCGCGCCGCGACGAGCTCGAGGAAATCGGAATCGCCCCCAATCTTCTTCGCTGGACGCGCGCTTCGAGGAATACAAACAGTGTGTCAGTGTCCGATACGGTGGATGATAACGGGTAATGGATAGGAACCGATTGGACAAAAAAACCAATAGATAGCTCTAATGGCGCACAATCTTTAAAACACGATCCAACGGAGGAGGTGTCGCCTGAAGACAAGCCTGATTTCAGGCGACTGGAGAATAGAAAAAGTGATAATGAAACCGTTCAATATATCTTTTTTTACTCTCACGTGGCACCCTTTGTTTGACGAGTGTTTCAAATCGCTTTTAGTTTACAACAAGATGAACTCTGTTGATACTATTGGTCCTTGTCTTCACAAATAGATTCTAGCTTGAACTCTCAAAATTATGGCTCCGTTCGCGTGTCCTTAAACCCGGCTTTATTCGCTTCTTTTTTCATCTGGAATAGTGTTTTTCTCTTATAAATTCCTCCAGTATTTCTCCAAACCATCCAAATTTCTCCAGAATTCCTCTAAGCGAATAGGCCATATGTGGGAGTAGTGTAATCATTTGGTTTATCAGAGTTAGTACGGTCATTTGGTTTATCTAATTGTGACGAATGACTTCATCTATCTATATTACTCCGTACATTTCAAAATATAGTTCGTTTGATTTTTTTAGCCTCAAATTTGACCGCTCATCTTGTTTAAAAAATTTGTCAATGTAGTCAAATTTAAGTCAATCTTAAAAAACTTTTGTTAATAAAACAAGCCGCAACAAAAAAAAAAAATATTTTGCATAAATTTTTAAATTAGACGAGCTAAAAAAATCAAACGAACTATAATTTAGAACAGATTTAGTATAAAGGAGAACCGAAAATATCTTGTCACTCATATATTTTCTACCCACCTTACTTCTTGTTATCTTAAAATCAGATTCAACGTACCTAAATTTTCCATCCTAAACTGACAAATAGACCGAGATCAGAAACTCGTCGGAAACTCTTTAGGTTGACAAATTTCTGTGTGTTGCGTCGAAAACTCTTTACATTAACATATTTATGTGTGTTGCGTCGACTTCCACACCTGTATTTTTTCCCCCCGCGAAATCTTTACCCACCCGCGCGTACCCATAACCGCCTCCGCAAGGCCACGCCGCCAATCGCTCCCTCCCCGTCCGCTCGGTCCCCTCGCCTCCCCGATCCATGGACGCGTACCAGCAACCGCCGACGCCACCTTGCCCCTCCCACGCGAACAGCCACTGGTACCCGGCGCCCCACCGTCCTCATCGTAAGGCCCCGGGCCCTGGCGTCTCCCCCGCGCAGTCCCTCGCGACGCCTTCCAGGCCTCCGCTCCGGCTCCCTCCCCGACCCAGAAGGCCGCTCCGGCCCCAGCCCCGGCGCCCAGGGCCACGGCAACCGCCCCGGAGATCCCCGCCTCGCCGGCGCCGCCGAGCTCGAGAGACAGCAGCGGCACCATCCTTGTCACCGCTCGCAACGAACAGGGTATGTGCTGCCTGCGATCCGCCTGCCCCTCTTCCTTTCTCTCGCTCATTATCGCTCGCGCTTCCATCCCATCTACTAAGCTCTTGCGGCGCGCTGTGCTTATTCATGTCATCATACATTGATTTGGGAAGGGACCGCAGAATCTTCAGATGAGTTGAGAGAAAGGACTGCAGAATTGGACATACGGTTGGGGCAGAGAAAGGACTGCAGAATTGGACATACTGTTGGGGCCGAATTTCTCAACTTAATAGTTGGAGATTAAGGTGACAATATTGTTGCAGGACTGAGGGAATATTTTAATATATAAATTCAGAGTTCTCTTTAAATTTTGTTTCCATTAATTTAGAAATTTCTTGAATACAAACTCCTATCTCTCTTAGTTGTAAAGTTGATCTCCAGAGTTCAGACCAATGTTTAGAAGATGTAATTTTTTGTTCAAACTTGGACAATTGGACTGATAGCCTGGGTGTCTGACTGATACACAAGTGACATCCGATCAGAGCACCTCTGCAATTAGTGGTGGGAAGGCACGGCTCGACAAAGTTGCCTACTAATTTTACTGAAACCACTAGAAAGTAAATTTGGCTCATGTCCAGTGTACTCATATAGTCATATGACACAGTCACACATTCAAAAATAGTCGTCCATTGATAGCAGAGAATTGCAAATAAATCACCAGTAGTTCTCTCCACCTCTTCCTGATGTCAATACAGTACACAGTGGCCATCTTACTGTTTTTGCGCACATGGATTTATGACAAGGTTTGATGGTCATGGCATACATACCCTACTAATCGTATACATATGTCCTGCACTTGATAATCGTATAGATATATGTAGCTGAAGACAGACATTGACATGAGCAGCAAGGTTGGTTGTTTAACTTTGAGGCTAACTGCTACCTGTCTGAAAAGACAATATTGCTAACTAAGAAGTGTTTATTTATATAGTTCAAAATTGCATGTAGGGTGTCTCAAAAGAAAGAAAAAACGACATAAGTATCCTGCAGAAAGCTAACAGAGTACTACAATAGAATACATCATAGCAGATACTTTTCAGAAAAAAAAAATGTAGGATCTTCCATGTAAAAAATCAGCCAATAATGTTCTAGCAGAAAAATAAGTATTTTGCAAGACAATCTTAAACACCAGCAGATTTTACGTCTACTAGGTCTTGTAGTAATGCTTTCTGTTAGGTACATGGCGGAATAACCTTTTAATGTTTTATATATATCCATCTGCTGAAAAATATTTACTGAGGCTCTTGCTCCCATTTGCAGGATTGCGGCATCCATGTGAACTTTGCTTTATGAGAGGAGCTGATTAGACAATGCAACCAGGATAATTGCAGTTTTTTTAGTCCAAGCTGTAAGAAGTTTCATGTCCAGTTTCTGTATGCCCTCTTCCACTTCTTTTTTGGTTCTGCGCAATGCACAACTTTTCTGACCTCCTGGTATATAGCACATATTGCAAGCTGCTTTCTTTCATAAACCAAGTTCCCTTTTAGAATGGGTGAGAATGTGAGATCAAGTTATTAGTTGTTTTTTTTTTCTGAATGTATTCTTTTGGTGGAATATCATTGCAATATGCATTTATACCCTGAAACCATTCTTATATGCACTTATGCCTTTTTATTTTTCAGATATCCCTGCAGATGAAGTTCTACATGAGGCAGTACCTGCCTGGTGATGTGGCTACTGTTTGAATTAAGGTTGTACTGTATCGTATTGTTATATGAATAGTTACATTTTTAATACAAGACCTCCTGGTATATAGCATATATTGCAAGCTGCTTTGTTTCATAAACCGAGTTCCCCTGTTAGAATGGGTGACAAAGTGAGATCAAGTTATTAGTTGTTTTTTCTGTATGTATTCTTTTGGTGGAAGATCATTGCAGTATGCATTTATACCCTGAAACCATTCTTATATGCACTTATGCCTTTTTATTTTACAGATAACCCTGCGGATGAAGTTCTACATCAGGCAGTACCTGCCTGGTGATGTGGCTACTGTTTGAATTAAGGTTGTACTGTACCGTACCGTATTGTTATATGAATAGTTACATTTTTAATACAACATATAAGAATTGATGTGTTAAAGTTTCCATTATTATTATTCCTCCGCACATGCATACTGTAGTCAATGAAGTCAGGTTGATACACAAGTGTTTTGATAATGATAGATAGGTTTTCTATCTCGCTATTTCCTAATTGTATCTTCTGAAACCCTGTGAAGTGTAAACAATAATGGACCTGATTTTTGCAGGTGTGTCCCTTGCTGTTTCTTCCAACACATGGTACCACATTAATAATTAATGGATTAGAGTGCCTGGTTGAGTTGCGAAGCATGTCCCAGCTTCTTTGGCATTCAGTGCATGGAGGACTGCAGTTTGTTGAATGGGCAAGAATAAGTGGTCAACAATGAGGTGCACACTTTCATTTTTCATGGTGAGAATCTTATCCCCTATAAATGTAGCTCTCTTCTCTTGATGTAGCCAATAGCCAAAATTATGCTAATAACACAAATGCTTCTTATTGCAGTCACCATTCACTATGATGTTGTATTGCTCTTGCTTGCCGTCTGCTATTTGTTATTTCAAAGATGTGGTATAAATATCTTGTGGGCAGAAGATCTCAAAAATAAATGCCGAGGTTTAGCATGGGAGTGCTTAGGTTCACCATCTTGATCTGGATATATGGCGAATGGTGATGGTGGGCAGCATAAAGAATTGCCTTTGTCCAGGTGGGTCGTTTCTTACTACTTGGGTTATTCGTAATTCCCTACTTGTGATTGGCTCAGCATTTTATCAGTGTCGCAAGAAGCCCGATCTGATGCAAGCATTTTTGGACTTATGCTGTTTGTTTTGTGGGTGCAGGCTTGCCTGAGCGGCTTACATGTGCAAATGGACCCAATTCTTAAATAAACCTGGTGGATAAAAATATTCTTCAAATGCACAACCTACACTTCATCTTCTCCCTTTCTTTTCTTTCTTGTTATGCATGTATATACAGTGCTCTTCAGAGTCGTTATGTCGTATAGACATCCATCTGGCAAAATAAAAATTATTTCTTAACTGATATCCACTTGACAAATTCTGGGATTCACAGATTCAGTCAAATTGCCCAAAATTTTGACAGTCCACTTTGCTCACTTGGTCATGCTCTATATCATCAATATATTGTTTGGTATTTGCTTGTGGTCTTTTGTAGACATATCACAGAGAATCATTGCTCATTCTGGGCAAAAACTGCTCATGTTTTTGACAGAGCACTAAACTGACTTGGTATATGCTTGTGATAGTGTGTTGATGTATCACAGAGAATAAATCACTGCTAATTCAGGGATAAATATGTGCATATACTATTTGATAATAATTGAAAAAAATGTCAAGGTGTTGGTCGACTAAGGCTGTCAAGGGCACCCGGGCCTAGGATAGCTGCACCTCAACTACGGAGCTCGTAGTCTCAATCCGTGGTTGAGGCGAGGTTTTGCCCCTCAGCTCTCAGGTTCGGTTGGAGAAGGAGATCAGAGAAATAGTTCTTGCTTGCCTTTTCCCGAGTTCACTTACATGCATATATATGGCCAAGGCCTAAACTGAAACTGAGCCAATTGCTCCTATAATTAAGGACTGAAAATAGGAAACTATCCTATCCTTCCACGCGAGCTGCGCGTTCCGGCTCTGCACACGTCGCGGGTTCGCTGGTGCCGAGTATACGTGCGCCCCCACATGACATCTCTCCCCCCGTCGAGGAGTAGCTCGTCCTCGAGCTAGAACATAGGATACTTGGTGCAGAATGGCTCGACGTCCTCCCAAGTCGTCGACGCCGCGGACTCCCCTTTCCACTAGATCAATACCTGGCGCACACCACGAGCCAGGCGTGTCCGTACTGCACGTTCCAGCTCCGGGGCAATGGCTCCATGATGAATATGAGGCAGAGGCGGCGGAGCATCCGGAGGCGGCCCCTGGAACTTCTTGAGGAGGCCGACGTGGAACACGTCGTGAAGACGAGCCCGAGGAGGCAGGGCGAGGCGGACAGCGACGTCGTTGATCAACTCGACGACGCGGTAGGGCCCGTAGAACCGAGGTTTAAGCTTGCCAGAGGTGGCCTGGACCAGGGACGACGGCGCACGCTGTCGGAGACGGAGGAGCGCCCAGTCGCCCACCTGGTACGAGACTTGGCGATGGGCTTTGTCATAGTGAAGCTTCTGGACCGCCTGGACCTACTCCAGCCGATAGCGGATGTCGGCGAGGAACTCTTCACGTTCTTCCATGCTCTTGGCGACGGCAGCCACCCGCGTGTCCCCCGGTTCATAAGACCGAATGGATGGCGGATCATGCCCGTAGACGACGTGGAACGGCGTGTTCCGTAATGAAGTCTGGTAGGCGGTGTTGAAGACGAACTCCGCCCACGGCAGCCACCGCAGCCATTGTCGCGGCCGATCTCTAGTGAGGCAGCGCAGGTACATGATGATGACGCGGTTGGCGGCCTCCGACTGTCCATCCGACTGGGGATGGAAAGCAGTGGTCATGTGCAACTTGGTGCCCACTAAGCGCATGAGCTCGCGCCAGAACTTCGAGATGAAGACCGGATCACGGTCGGACACCATGGACTGTGGTACGCCGTGTTGGCGAACTATGTCGGCGAAGAACGCTTGAGCAACGGTCTCAGCAGTGTACGGATGCGCCAAGGGAATGAAGTGGTAGTACTTGCTGAACCTGTCCACCACTGTTAGTATGACTGACTTGCCCCGGACGCATGGCAAAGCTTCGACGAAGTCAAGGGCGATGTCCGTCCAGACACCCTGCGGCACGGGCAGCGGAAGGAGGAGACCCGCCGGGTGTAAGTGCTCTGACTTGTAGCGCTGACAAGTGGCGCAAGCACGCACAAAATCCTGCACAAGCTGTTTCATGTTAGGGAAGTGAAAGTCACGCCGCAGACGGTGCAACGTGCGCTGGACCCCTTCATGGCCGTCCT